TCTCGTCCCTGGGTCCTCGTCTTCCTGCCACCCAGCCTTACCTGTGTTTTGTTCAATAAACCACTTTCTTTGGGCTCCTACTCCTCCTGGTCTGTGTCTGCAACTAGGGTCCACACCACACTCATACGTAACAGGCCCAGTCAAAGTCCAGACCTAAATCCTATTGAGAATCTATGCCAAGACTTGAAAATTGCTGTTCACAGTTGCTCTCCATCCAATCTGACTGAACTGGAGCTACTTTGCAAAGAAGAATGGGCAAAAATTGCAGTCTCTAGATGTGCAAAGCTGGTAGAGACATACCCCAAAACACTTGCAGCTGTAATTGTAGTGAAAGGTGCTTCGACAAAGTATTGACTCAAGGGGGCTGAATACATATGCACGCCACGTTTCATTTTTATTTGTAAAAAATCTTGAACACCACATATCATTTTCCTTCCACTTCACAACAATTATGCAATACTTTGTGTTGGTCTATCACATAAAGTCTCAATAAAATGCATTTAAGTTTGTGGTTGTAATGTGACAAAATGTGGAAAAATTCAAGGGGTATGAATACTTTTGTATATATGCATTTATAGTAAAGATAATTTTGATTAGTGATGATTCACCTCTCGCATGAGCACATCTGTTTCCTCAGTGGAACATCTTACTGACATCTTCTGACCTGGCAAGTCTGCCAGTATGTTAGTAATATGCCAAAAATTCAAACTCACACATCTCTTAAAGGGGATGCGAGGTTACACACTAGTGATGTGACGTTCCGTATCGAGGCTTCGAAGCGTGTGCCGAGTAGGGGAGGGGGCGTTTCTGCAATGTGCGTATCGAGGCTTGCGTCATTTAGGTGAGGAGCTGAAAATGATGAGGTCCGAAGCCTTGCTGCCCGGCTGTACCACGTGACTGATTCAGGAAGTGGTTCGGATTGTCAAAAAAAGAAATCGCCTAAGACCTGCCACAGTGGAGAAACTGTTGTTTTTAAATAAAAACCAATGGTGTCCCCTAAACCATAATCACTGGCCATACCTCAACGTTACAAAAGCACAATCATTGTCCATACCCCAACCCCAACCACCCTCACCTCACTGTAAATAATCATTTCCATTTTCATCATTTCCAAATAATCATTTTCCATACTGCCAGTATATATATATATACACAGTATACTGCCATCACTACAATATACATGTTTTGCATACGTCTTTATTTTGCATACAGTTTTATTCACAGGCTTTCTGCAAAATGCCACACACTTCAAATTCATGCCAACTGATATTGTTGCATCCAGTAGATGTCCTCCTAGAGCAAATGAAGCTTCATGAAGCTTTGCGCTGGAATGAACCAATTGGATGAAAGGCTTCATTGCTTCATGAAGCTTCATCTGCCCATCACTATTACACACTGGCTGGATAATTGCATGTTACACCCGAAACACATCCCTGCTTTAACGAGAAGATCAAATACAGCCATTTTGCTACTTGCATGGGTGCTTGAATAATTTTTCCTCATTGTCAAATTACAGATATTAACACTGACACACCCAAATACTTGCCCCAGTACATCCTGATCAGACACTGTGGATCCTCAAAACAGGGCCCCTAGGCTGAAAATGACAGTTTTGGCTCACAATTTCTGCCATCTGGGTTCAAGATAATCCTGACTGGCTTTTGTCTGGCTGTTGCTGCATACAGTAGATCATTCCCCAGTTCTGGGTATTTGCCTTGCTGGGCTCCTTCAGTTCGCGTCTTGCACAGTGGGGTGTACTGAGTTACAACACTCAGTTTCCATTGACAATGAAAAGGCAGCTGACACTGACCCAGTAATTTTTTCCGTATGTGGCCACAAGGGGGCTCGTATACAGTCAGCAGCCTTCCCAGCATTTATGATGGTGAATAATCTTTTACAGTGCCTTGCGAAAGTATTTGGCCCCCTTGAACTTTGCGACCTTTTGCCACATTTCAGGCTTCAAACATAAAGATATAAAACTGTAATTTTTTGTGAAGAATCAACAACAAGTGGGACACAATCATGAAGTGGAACGAAATTTATTGGATATTTCAAACGTTTTTAACAAATAAAAAACTGAAAAATTGGGCATGCAAAATTATTCAGCCCCCTTAAGTTAATACTTTGTAGCGCCACCTTTTGCTGCGATTACAGCTGTAAGTCGCTTGGGGTATGTCTCTATCAGTTTTGCACATCAAGAGACTGAAATTTTTGCCCATTCCTCCTTGCAAAACAGCTCGAGCTCAGTGAGATTGGATGGAGAGCGTTTGTGAACAGCAGTTGTCAGTTCTTTCCACAGATTCTCGATTGGATTCAGGTCTGGACTTTGACATAGCCATTCTAACACCTGGATATGTTTATTTGTGAACCATTCCATTGTAGATTTGGCTTTATGCTTTGGATCATTGTCTTGTTGGAAGACAAATCTCCGTCCCAGTCTCAGGTCTGTTGCAGACTCCATCAGGTTTCCTTCCAGAATGGTCCTGTATTTGGCTCCATCCATCTTCCCATCAATTTTAACCATCTTCCCTGTCCCTGCTGAAGAAAAGCAGGCCCAAACCACGATGCTGCCACCACCATGTTTGACAGTGGGGATGGTGTGTTCAGGGTGATGAGCTGTGTTGCTTTTACGCCAAACATAACGTTTTGCATTGTTGCCAAAAAGTTCGATTTTGGTTTCATCTGACCAGAGCACCTTCTTCCACATGTTTGGTGTGTCTCCCAGGTGGCTTGTGGCAAACTTTAAACGACACTTTTTATGGATATCTTTAAGAAATGGCTTTCTTCTTGCCACTCTTCCATAAAGGCCAGATTTGTGCAGTATACGACTGATTGTTGTCCTATGGACAGAGTCTCCCACCTCAGCTGTAGATCTCTGCAGTTCATCCAGAGTGATCATGGGCCTCTTGGCTGCATCTCTGATCAGTCTTCTCCTTGTATGAGCTGAAAGTTTAGAGGGACGGCCAGGTCTTGGTAGATTTGCAGTGGTCTGATACTCCTTCCATTTCAATATTATCGCTTGCACAGTGCTCCTTGGGATGTTTAAAGCTTGGGAAATCTTTTTGTATCCAAATCCGGCTTTAAACTTCTCCACAACAGTATCTCGGACCTGCCTGGTGTGTTCCTTGTTCTTCATGATGCTCTCTGCGCTTTAAACAGACCTCTGAGACTATCACAGTGCAGGTGCATTTATACGGAGACTTGATTACACACAGGTGGATTCTATTTATCATCATTAGTCATTTAGGTCAACATTGGATCATTCAATTTGTTAAAAACGTTTGAAATATCCAATAAATTTCGTTCTACTTCATGATTGTGTCCCACTTGTTGTTGATTCTTCGCAAAAAATTACAGTTTTATATCTTTATGTTTGAAGCCTGAAATGTGGCAAAAGGTCGCAAAGTTCAAGGGGGCCGAATACTTTCGCAAGGCACTGTATATATATTCCTATATCCAAATTATGATACAGATTGGCACCAAAATCAAATCTGCTGTTTTGTGGGCCATACTCTACCTCTCAGAATCTATTCATTACTTTTTAAGTTATGCTGCTAACAAACTAATAGACAGATGCTGGCAAAAACATAACCCCTGCCCTTGGTGGAGGTAATTACAGAAATCATGGTTAAAACTCATTATATTGAGAGTTACAGTATATTAAAGAGTGTAATACATGTTCAACCACAGGGTGGAGCTCTGACTCCACCACACACTTACAGGGAGGTTTTGCCAGATCTACATCTTGGTGAATACAGACTTAGATTACATGTCATGAAATTCATCATTGGACATTACCACAAAATGGACAGGACATTTGGGTTATTCATCTATACAGAATTGAACACAAGTCCCAAAAGAAACCTATTAAGTCTTTAGAATGCTGAGTGGTTTATGGCTTAGACCTGGTCTGTTTGGGTGTCTACAGAATGCTTGTGAGAGACTGGTGGAGTGCCCATTCAGGTTCAGTTTGGTGTTGTATCAGATAAGTCGGGTGGGGTTTTTGTGTGTGTCTGTAAGCTCCTCGTAATAAATTGTCAGAGCCCACAACCTTTCTTATAGGTGTTTTTGGTCTATAGCAGTTCATTCAAGTGAAAACTTTGTGTTTCACACATTATCTAAAATAGTAATGAATGAAACCAAGTTTCCAGTCAATGTAACACACTAATAAAAGGAATAAAGAGGAAAAACTCAAGGGTCTCAAATCATAATTATTTATCAGTAGTGATGCGGTTCTTGCAAAAGTTGGTTAGAAAGTTAAGTTACCTTCTAATTGTAGAATGACTGTCTGATCCAGAGATGATTGATCTGCTTCATAGAAGACAGATACACAATTAAGAGTCTTCATGTTCCAGAATCACTTTTTTCAGTTAAAATTATAAGAGATCTTCATGCTGTAGCTTTAATCAACTAGAGTATTTTTGAGGTCAGTTTATACCAAAAAATGGTATATGCGTATATAATGGTATAAATGATATATAAAATTTACCAAAAATATTTCCCGGGTTTGTCCTTATATCTCTGGCAGCTCGATTCTCTGCTCCTCCAGCACACCTCTCAAAACCAAAAAGTTATTAATCTCAGATTAAAATGGACTCGACTGCACGTTAACAGTGATGTGTAGTACTTACTATCTGTTGTGAAAAACTAACAATGGCTAGCAGTAACAAAAGTACATAAACTGACCACCCAACAACAACCTCTCTATATCACACATTTCTGTCACTTGGCAACATTTAGTAGCTGACATTCTGCCATTTTGTAGGCAAACACTGTATATATTGATTACCTATTTCAAAAATGTCCAGGAATTCTATTTTGGGTTGGCATTTCCTACTTAAAGAAGAGCACACTAACTTTGTTTCTCCTCCTTCAGCACAGTTCTCAAAAAGTGTGAAATTGATGAAGTAAAAATTAATAAAAGTCATGTCTGTCATATAACATGTGACATTAGTATACATTTTTTTCTCTCTCTCTCTCTTCTTTTTTTTTTTATTCAGGAAAAGTTGGACCCCAGTGTGAAGAAGGAGCTGGATGGCATGGGTGTTCCTGACATTAAATATGGCGACTCAGTGTGTTACATTCAACATGTTGATACCTGCTTATGGCTCACATACCACACTGTCAATGCTAAGTGCGCACGCATGGGTGGAGTCCAGAGAAAGGTACCTTACTTTACTGAACCATACTGGACCTATCAGAAATGGAGTTGCTGTATACCAAAGACTAAGATGTGACAACAAGCACAGTTGCAGTTTATGGCCTTTTTGTAATATTAGAGTGAACTATCTCTGCATGCATCCATGCATGGCCCCAAAGTAGGCGGCCCAAGCTACTGGACAGAGCTAATGTCAGGAGGTTAAGGGACGAAGATAGAACTGAGCTAACAGTGGAGCCCACATCTGTGGCGTTTTACTCATGCAAACAGTGAAATAAATCATGACTGCATTATTCAACCATCTTCAATTTTTACCACCAAAAACCTGCTTTACTGATGCCTTCGACTGATGTTGTCATCATAAAAAAAATTAAATTTAAAGCCACATTCAGAAAACAGGCTATGTGAGTTTAAATTCAGCTTTTGGTGTTTTGGTAAACTGGTAACTTTTTCTATTTGACTCCTGTTGCTCAAGTAAAAGGCACTGTCTTTATGTTAAGAATAACTTTACATCTTATTTCAGGCCATCATGCACCATGAGGGTCACATGGATGATGGGCTGACATTGTCTCGGTCACAGCATGAGGAGAGTCGCACTGCCAGAGTCATCCGCAGTACTGTCTTTCTCTTCAATCTGTTCATCAGGTGGATTACCCACAAACACACACACAGATATGTAACACACATGATTTAAAAGGCAAGAGATTGTTGTACCCCGTACTTTTTACCATACTGACTCTGAGAGATGAGACAGTCCAAGTAACTACAAAACAGTGCTGATTTATTCCATGAACATAGGTAAAAGTTAACATTACACGCTCAGGTATCTTGCACCTCCAAACTGCTCGCAGGCAGATGAAAGATGAAAGACCCTGAAATGCAGCAGGGACAAGGAGATCCTTGGTTCTTGAAGAAGTATAAGTAATTGAGGAGAAAGCCCTGTCTTCCTTCACTGGTACCTCTCCCAGCCACTGGTTCCACTACGTGGATGACACATGGGTTAAAATCAGGACCCACACGAGGTAGAGGCTTTCACCAAGCATATCAACTCTGTGGATGAGAACATCAAATTTACTCGTGAGGATGCCAGAGATGACTGTCTGGCCTTTCTGGATTGTGCAGTCCACTTGGGAGGGGACACAATCCTGAAGGTAGAAGTATATTGGAACCCTACACACATGTACCAATCCCTGCTTTTTGACTCACCCCATCCACTTCAGCACAAACTGGGAGTCTTCAGAACTTTAAATCACAGGGCAGAGAAAGTGCCCACAACTGCAGAGGGGGCCAAGAAGGAGAAATTACACATCCAGAACTCCCTTAGGGCTTGTAGATACCCTAAGTGGACCTTCACCAAAGCTAGGAAGAGGCCCAACACCAATAGGGAGAAACCAGAAACAAGAGGGGATAACACTGTCATCCCTTATGTGGCTGGTTTATCAGAGAAGTTAAAAAGGATATTTCACAACCACAATATCCCAGTTAACTTTAAACCAGGGAACACCCTGCGGCAGAGACTGGTCCACCTGAAGGACAAAACCCCCAGACATAAACAGAGTGATGTGGTGTATGCAATTAAGTGTAGTCAGGAGTGTAACGACTTGTACATTGGTGAAACTAAGCAGCCGCTTCACAAACACATGGCCCAACACAGGAGGGCCAACTCCAGTGGACCAGAGTCAGCAGTCCACCTCCACCTGAAGGACAAAGGACATTCTTTTGAGGACAGTGAAGTCCAGATCCTCTCCAGAGAACATCACTGGTTTGAGAGAGGAGTTAAGGAAGCTATTTTTGTAAAGATAGAACACCCCTCACTAAATAGGGGTGGTGGACTAAGACACAACTTGTCATCCATCTACAATCCTGTTTTGAGATTTCTGCCCAAACATGCCCACCAGGACAATAGGCATCGGTCGACAGGGGAGGGTTCAAAGACAGGTAACGACTCTCACCGATCCTAGGCTATAACGACTCAGTCATTAGGGGACATTGTTGGCCATCAAAGGACTGAAACACCACCAAGGGCGATAAATATCTCCGGCTCAACACCAGTCAGTCAGAACTGATGAAACCTCTTGGATGAGAGGTGAAACGTCTTCGACCTAGAAATCTAGTCCAGTTGATTTTTTTCAGTTTACTATGACCTGGATGACTGAGAATCTGCACAGACATTTGCCAACAGAGAAGAAAATGTATTCCATGTGCAAAGAACTTTGCCTCCTTTCCCAAACCCTACAAATAAAATGTATCTCAAAAACATTCCTTTTTAAAACACAGTGTGGTAAAGCATACAACCAGAAGAAACCATTAGAAAGGACATTTTATTAAAAAGTATAGTATTTATATCATTACACAGTAAATCACAAAACAGCAAACAAGGGATTTCTTTATTGTCGAGACCTCCTTGTTTTGGTACTGCCGCACAACTGTGAATATGACAAATAAACTTTGACATAAGGTCCTAAGCTGGGAAATCATAATATCCATACATTAAGCCAATGCAAAGCAGGGAGGTGTGCGTGAACAATCATGTCAAAATGACAAACTCGCTGCAAATAACAAATTGGGCCTAAACAGTGACAGTCAGCTGCACTGTAACTCTGAACAACACGCAACAGAAATAATGTTACTTCTGCAATTTTATTTCACCAAGCTACACAGAACTTTGACATTAACGTAACCTTTGCTTATGAATCAACCTGGAACAAAAGCAGTATCAGTCAACATGTTGTACAGCAAGCTGTAAAATTGACATTACAGCAGCAAAGAGTAACAACTATTTCAGTTCATGAAGACAGCGACTGATACATTCTTTTGTGTATGTGCCAGGGGTCTGGACACACTAAGGAAAAAGGGGAAGAGCTCTACTTTAGATCTACCAATAGATTCAGTCAGTCTGAGTCTACAGGATCTGATTGGCTACTTTCAACCACCTGGAGACCATCTAGAACATGAAGACAAGCAGAACCGACTCCGAGCTCTGAAGAATCGACAGAACCTTTTTCAGGAGGAGGTAGGAAATGTCTACACAGGTTTTCGTGTGTGAGTGTACATGTATGGCCAGTTTTATACCATAGGACTGAGGACATTTTGACTGGTTCTTACTTTCTGGCACCTTCCAAAGGTTGTTTGAGGGTTAAGACGTGGATTTAGGGTTCATGCTAGAATTAGGTTTAGGTTAGAGTAAGGGTTGGGCTTAGGCATTTCTCTCCCCAATGGGCCATGTGTGTGTCTTCCTGAACCTCGGATCCTGTGTGTTTGAGGGATCTGTGCAGTATCTTAGCTGTACTTAGCACTGCACTGTTCTAGATAGAGAGCTCTGATGTTGTTCCTGGGATCTGTTGAAGCCACTCTTCCAGTTTAAGAGTCACAGCTCCGTGTGCCCCTACCACCACTGGGACCACATTGGCGTTCATCTTCCTCATCCTCTCCAGTTCCTGTTTCAGGCCCAGGGAGAACATGCAAATCCCACACAGAAAGGCACCAGGTTGGTCGGGGCTGTGAGGCAACAGCAGTAACCAATGCACCCCCACGCAGAGAAGCATAGCCAGGGATTTGCATCAATTGAATGTGGGGTCCAGGTGTTTTTTTTTTCTTTTTTCGCAGTCTGAATGGTAATTTAGCTGTAAAAAAATAACAGACACATTTTGGAGATCTCTGAGACCTATGTTAACTTGTTAAACAGGAGTATTATAGCTGTCTTTTAAGTTTGTATTGCTCCTCCTTAACAGTACTGTGTCTCTCCTCTCCTCTCTGCTCCTCTCTCCTACCCTCCTCACCTAACCCCATCTCTTCTCCTCTGTTTTCTGTGCTTTTATGCTGTTATGGGAATTTGAAAAAAAAATTAGAGTATATGAGCTTTTAAACTCCAGTCCAGTGAGCATTTGTATTATGGATAAGAATATGGGTGTTCCATTATATTGTTTTCAGTTTAAGGAAGGATAAGTAAAACTTCACAAGACTGCAAATGTGTGAAGCTGGAAGTCTATGACTGCAGAGTTGAACCCCTTCATCTGCAGCTGCACCTTCCCATTGTAAACAGTTGCACTGTCTCATTTTATTAGAATTATGCGTATTCTCTCTTATGTGTATGGTTGTTGAAACCAACAACCTCTGTGTCTGTAGGGGATGATCAGCCTGGTGTTGGAATGTATTGATCGGCTTCATGTCTATAGCAGTGCAGCTTATTTTGCTGAGGCAGTAGGAAGGGAAGCAGGAGAAGCCTGGAGCTCCATCCTCAACTCCCTCTACCAATTACTGGGTATACACACTTTTTATTTCCCCTGCCCTCATAGTATGAAAGAAACATAGTATGTATAACAAGTTGTTAGTGCATTACATTCCATTAAGTTTTTATTCACAATAACCAAGAGATGATAATTCAGACAGTAGAAATATTAGGATGAAATTAAACTAAAAATCTTTTCTGTGCACTCCACTCCTCTCCTGCCCTCTTGTTTCCACTTCTCTCCTTTCCTGTGTTCTCCTCAAAGCTGCACTGATCAGAGGAAACAGAAAAAACTGTGCCCAGTTCTCTGGTTCACTGGACTGGCTGATTAGTAGATTGGAGCAACTGGAGGCCTCCTCTGGTAGGTCTTCTTGACTGTGTGGTGCTCACACTGACAACTGGTGACCAGTCACCACTGGATCATTATAAAGTGACAATGTTGAAATCAGAGGATCCAAAAAGTAGGTGAATGAAACCTGAGCAATTATTTTGAATGTTTAAATACTGCAGAAAAGCAGTATTTGAGCTTAATTTTATGTGTCACTTTGTCAGAGTCAAGTAAAATTTGACTCAGTGTAATACACTATGTCACAAAACAAATTAATCTGATTGTCAGAACCCATTCTTTACAGCATTAAAATTGTATTTATAGAGTTATTGCATCACAAAACGTTCTTGAGAGTTTTCTCGTTAGAGTTCTTCACAGTGCTTGTAAGATACTTTTAATAACGAACAGGGAAAACGCCTAAGCTAAAACATGGAGTAGGGCTGGCCCAGATACAAAGGATGGCATCATGTTTCTTGAATGAATTTACTCAGCATTGTCAACAGTTTTGACAGGTTACTGTATGAATCAACAAGAAATAAAATGTCTACACACAGGAGCATGAAAAGAAACACAGATGTCTTCCGAATAGATACTGTAATGTTTTATATTTTTAGGTATATTAGAGGTGCTTCATTGTGTGCTGGTAGAGAGTCCTGAAGCACTGAACATAATCAAAGAAGGACACATCAAATCAATCATATCTCTTCTGGACAAGCATGGACGCAACCACAAGGTACAGTACAGGCACTTATAAGTACATATACATGTACAGTATTTACTTATAAATGAGTACTCACTTTTATTGTACATGGTGAAATGAATGTCAGAATTCTGTATAAATAATCCACATTATTATGTGTGGTGATAAAAGACTTGTAGGAGTTTGTGGCAGAACCTTAGGCCCAAGGCCCCTTTTGCAAGAGAGACTGAACACATTACATATATATGAGCTCACAACAAGACAGTTTCACTCAAACAAAACACAAGTAGGAGTGCTACTTTTTTTCAAAACACAGCATTACAAAGTGCTTCACAAAAACATGTACTCCACAAAAAACTAGTCTTCAGTTATTTGCTCTAGAGTGTCCCTAGCTTCAGACAGAGGTGAGACGTCAGTGACAGTGAGTTGGAGATCCCAGCTCACAAAACAATATGACCATAGTCCTCAGGCAATGACGAGACACTGAGTAAATGTACTGAGAAACTATTCTTTTCATAAATAAGTACTCCACCTTTTTCACTTTACTTTCACATCTAAATTTCTTATATCCAGTTATAGACAAGACAGGAATTTTAGCACAGAGACAGGTTTCTGTAAGAATAAAAATCTCTGCAGTAGTTTCACTCACTAACACAATTACTGTACAAAATCCAATTTTAGAAACAAACTATTTTGATGTAGACATTTCAGCCCATGACCATTTATAAATTTCAGTGGTGAAATTGTTTTATTACTAACATAAGATGTGTTATCAGGATGGTGAATAAGATGCCCTTTAGAGCAACAGTCACAAAAAAGAATGGAATTACAAATGTAATAGTAGTAGTGTAATCATGAATTGAATGCTTTGAAGCAAAAGTCTGTCAGTCAGTTCATTATGTCTGACAGTTCATTATGATTCAGGAACAGGTGAAAACCGTAGTGAATTGTAAAAATAATATACAGTCATTCTTATTTTCTGGTTTGTGCATACTGTTTAGGTTCTAGATGTATTGTGTTCGCTGTGTGTGTGTCATGGCGTAGCTGTGCGCTCCAACCAGAACCTCATCTGTGACAACTTGCTGCCAGGAAGAGATCTGTTACTGCAGACCTGTCTGATCAACCACGTAAGCAGGTATACACACAGACACACATACGTACATACACAGTGATGTCTTACAATAATCGTGAGGACACTCACTGACATAATGTCCCTAGCCCCTTACCTTAACCTTAACCATTACAACTAACGGCCTAACCTAAACCTAATTCTAACCTGAACCCTAAAACTAACCTTCATACAGCCCTTTGAAGACTGACTACTCACAGCACAACAATGAAGAACACAACCTTAACTGTAAACACTCTTTAAAGTAATGTTCCCTCTTAAAATTTGAATTAGAGTCTGTTGACTTTTGTTGAGAGCATTTTGATTTATGGATATTCATCTTGTAAAATAAGATTTTAAATTAAAACATGTCTGTATCCTTTTTTAATAAAAACATGTTACATGTATTTTCTTCCTCTCAACAGCATGCGTCCTAACATCTTCCTGAGCGTCAGCGATGGTTCCGCTCAGTACAGGAAATGGTACTATGAGCTGATTGTGGATCAGGCCTTGCCATTTGTCACAGCAGAGGCCACTCACCTCAGGGTGGGCTGGGCCAACATCAGTGGTTATGCACCCTACCCCAGCGGAGGGGAGGGGTGGGGAGGCAATGGGGTGGGAGATGACCTATACTCTTACGGCTTTGATGGACTCCATCTTTGGTCAGGTGAGCTGTGGGTGTGTTGAACTCAGAGGAACTTGTCAGATTGTTCCAGATGGCTGATTCAAAATGCACACTGTATGTTGCAGACTTAAACTCAAACCAAGCTAAAGCTCTGTCCTCACTGTTTTTCTGCCAAACTTGGACAGGCTGCATTGCACGAACTGTTAACTCCCCCAATCAGCATCTCTTGAGGTCAGAAGATGTGGTGAGCTGCTGCCTGGACCTCAGTGTGCCCAGTATCTCCTTCAGGATCAATGGCCAGCCGGTTCAGGGCATGTTTGAGAACTTCAACTCTGATGGCCTCTTCTTCCCTGTTGTCAGCTTCTCTGCTGGAGTCAAGTCAGTGCCTCACCGCAAACACTTCACACAGAGGGAACTTGAGTACATTTAGTGTGACCATTGTTGTAGGTCTCGAGTCCAGGACTCAGACTCAAGTCTGACTCGAGTCCGGATTTTCAGGACACGTGATTTGAATCTGATTTGAGCATTGATGACTCAGACTTGGAGTCGGACTTGGGAATGGACTGCATTCAGACTCTGAATTTGGAGGGGAGGACTCTGAATCTACTTATTCACTTATTTATTTTTGTAATACGTTATAACAATTTCGCACAAGATATTGATATTAAAACCTGTTCACCTGCACCTTGCTGTACCCATGCAATATCCACTTCCATCAAGCCTACACTCTGCCTTTCTATAAATAGGGTTATTCATTCATGCATTCATTTTCTACCGCCTAGTCCCTGAACGGGGTCACGGGGGTGGGGGGAGGCCAATCCCGGCCGGCAATCGGGCGAAGGCGGGGTACACCCTGGACAGGTCGCCAATCCATCGTAGGTTTTATGTTTCAAATTGAAGAACAGTATGGTGATGCAATACAGTCAGAAAGTTTGGACTATAACATGGTGAGAGCTGTGTAAGTTGTGTTTATTGTAGACCTTTGATGACTGATTTTGGTAATGGTGACTTGACTAGGATTATTTTTTGATGACTCGACTCAGGCTCAAGTCAAAATGTAATACAGAGACACTTTTTGTGTGACTGGACCCTTTTGGCCCTTTCCTCTCAATTTTTTGTATTCTCTTGTTGGTATTTAAAATTTTTGTAATGTGTATATGTTAGCAGATTTTTGAAATCTCACCAGCCATACTAACAAAGGAAAGGTGACAGAAACACTCCTAACTCAAGGTTTGCTTACTAGCTTTTTCCTAGAGCTTTTCAACTACAGAGCTGCATGTCAACTGACCCATTTCCATGGCAACTAAGCAAACTACAGTATCTGCTGATGGCACTAATGTATTATCGTTGAAAGCTCTAAAAAAACCTAGCAAGTGGTAACTGGTGAGTTTGGATTGGTTTAAGTAGCGTTTCCAAGATTAGGAAGGAACTTTTATGCTTGACAGCAGAAAGGAAACTCTGACATGACATAACTTACTGGGCATGTTGGCTCTATACAATACATTTATTTGACTTCAGCTTGAGAAGAAAAGCAAATTTGTAAATTAGATGTACTAATCCAAACCAGTATGACATGATATTGTCTTCCTAATTCATCATCAAGTTTTCCTTTCATATTCCTCCCCTCAAACACCACCCTTTGTCATATGTCACACTGCAGGGTGCGTTTCCTCCTTGGTGGACGTCATGGGGAATTTAAGTTCCTACCTCCCCCGGGTTATGCTTCTTGTTATGAGGCAGTGTTGCCCAGGGAGAAACTCAAGCTGGAGGCCAGTCAGGATCAGACTGCAGCCAGAGACTTGCTGGGGCCCATCATCACACTGAGCCAGGCAGCATTCACCCCCACACCTGTGGACACCAGCCAGGTAAGTTCAGTTCAAGTTCAAAGTGTTTATTTGTCATATGCACAGTTAGGAAACATGTTTCCCTGTACAATGAAATTCTTACTTTGCTGTCCACATGAATGCCACAAAATACATCCATCCATCCATCCATTTTCCTCCACTTATCCGGGACCGGGTCGCGGGGGCAACAGTCTAAGCAAAGATGCCCAGACTTCCCTTTCTCCAG